TTCCACAACTACTGCTGGTGCCTCATTGTGTCGCTTTCTTCATGAAGGATCATCTCAAGTTTCTCTGGTGCGAAGGCCACCTTGTTTATCTCCCCCCACCTCAGAATACTCTGTATATCCTGTCTGAGAAGGGTGGCATTGTTGTCAAGTGAGTGGGTCGCCCGCCAGATGTTCAGATCATCCGCATAGCCAAAGCGCAACTCCGAGTTTTGCCACAGCAGCTCTGCCAGGTACAGAAGGAACAGTATTGGTGACAAAGGAGACCCCTGTGGCGTGCCACATTGCATCTGATGTGCTGCTGTGGTGGTCCCCTCCAGCCGGACCTGAGCTCTGCGTTCAGTGAGGAAACTGTCAATGAGCTGCAGCAGCTCGCGTGGCCACCCCTGCTGCGCCATCCGCTGAAGCAGCCGCCTGCGCAGCACAGCATCAAAGGCACCCTGCACATCCATTGTGACCATGGACACTTCTTTGTTTTGTGCGAAGGCTGCCTCCACCTCATGAGTGAAAGCAGCTACCAGGTCCATTGCAGATCGTCTGGGCAGCGCCCCCCCATGCTGTGGGCTGACTATGCCGTGAATGAGTGCCGTGTACGCCAGTCGCCTTGCAATGATGCGTTCCAGCCCTTTGGAGATTACTGAAAGCAGGGCAATGGGCCTCCAGGAGCGGACTGAGCTTCTATCTCTCTTACCCACCTTGGGTATCATTGCCACCTCTGCCAGTTTCCAGGCTCGTGGGAAGTGGCAGAGCCGGAGGCAGCAGTTGTATAGCTGCCCATGCCGCTCCAGTGCTCATCATCCAGTGGGTCATACTCCAGATCATCAGCTGAGTTGTATCGCTTCAGAATTGCTTGTTGAAGTGCCTCAGCTTTGGCGGCTGTCTCTTCTATGACCTGATCCCCAATCACCAGAGGGGGTGCTCTGAGGTTGGGTTCCAGCTTATGCCATGCCACCACCCGGTACAGGTCTCTACCATCTCTGGCCTCATTGATCACCTGCCTCCAGTATGCACGCTTGGCCTTGCGCACTGTGTCCTTGAACTGGTGTTTCGCGGCCTCTGTCTGGTGAGTGGTGAGCTCTCAGTGCGCTCTTCGGCAGTCTGCTGTCCACCAGGAGGTTGTGGTCCGCTCTTGTTGAGCTGGCTTACTGACTGCCTGAGCTGCAGCCAGAAGACTCTGAGTGAAGTGTTGGGTCAGATCATCAAGCTGTGCCACATTTCCAACCCCCTCTGAGCAAGGCATGTCCACCATGAGACCTCTGACAAGATCTGCAAAGGGCTCCAGCTGAGAGTCTGTGATCTTGATGCGAGCATCACTCAGCTGTGTTTGAGGTGTTGTTGGCAGCATAGTGATCATAAACTGGTGATCTGAGCCGCAGTGTAGATCTTGACGCACTGTAGTGGAAGCAAAGGCTACATTGGAGAAGGTGAGATCAATCACATGACCTGCTGCATGAGTCGGAACCCCTATCTCTCCCACAAAGTCCATCCCATGTTCACTGGCCCATTGGACAAGCTCCCCGCCCCGGTGCAGATTCACTGCCCCTGGTTCAAAGGCATCATGCCGTACGTTGATATCCCCACCTATCAGACAGCGGGCTGGTGGGCTCAGATTGGTCAGATAGTCCATGACTGCGTCTGTCTCAGGCTGTCTGTACACATTGAGAATGTGGCAGCCATTTACACTGACCCATAGCAGATCCCTGTTTTGCACAGACCGGTGTTGCTGTGCCCTTGTCTTTGAGCCCTTGCGTACATATGTCATGACCCGGGGCCTCTCCTCCTCTCACTGCTCCGGGTTAGTGTCATCCCAGCGGTCTATAGGCGCAAAGCACTCATACGCTGGGTGGTTAGAAGTCTTGATGCCAGGGTGTGTGTATGGCTCCTGTATACAGATCACTTCACAGCCCTGCTTGAAAGCAAGCTGTAGAGCTGCTGTGTGACAGAGGGCTGCCTTGGCTGTATTTGCCCGGAAGACCTGCAGGGGGCGATTTTCCTGCTGGTTGTTCCTGCGGCGCCAGCCGCGTCGCTGGTGTTGGTGTTCTAGCATGAGGAGTCACTTGGTGAGCTGCTGCCGAAGTCCACCTGCGGGATGAGGTTGAAGGGCTCCAGACCCGCCGTCTGCATGCTGAAGTCAGACTGTTCTTTAACTGCTTGGCTGTGCTGCCGCACTGCTGTGTGAGCTGAGCGTCGCCTGGTGCGGGCCATCTGCCAGGGGGCACCCTCCTCACTGATGGAACTCTGAGTAGCCGCCCGCTTGCGGGGTGCTAGCCCAGCGGGGGCTATACGGTGGAGGCTATAGATGCTCGTCTTCACTATGGTGATACCAATCTGAGCATTAGC